CCTGCGCATCTGCATGTATTTCTTTTAAAAATAATTTCTAATCAATGTCCTTTTAAACAGAAATTGGTATGACAATTCTAAAACAGTGTACGGAAATGAGTTGATTTTTCCTCCCACTTCTTCAGTAAAATGATTGATGCTTAATTCTTCAGACCCCCACGGGCCAGCAGTTTACCACTCTGTCAGAAGCTAGGACTTCATCGGTTGAGATAATTTATTGGCTGAAGTGCCAGTAATTTGATCCAGTCATTGGTCTCTGCAACTTTAATTTTAACTTTAATGTTTAAACTTTAATTCACCAAATCATTACCTAAGTCAGCAGTATGTTTTCCTGAGAGTAAGTGTTTCCAGGCTAAGCGGGGCTTGCTTTTAAGATCAATAGGATTGTGCTGTTAACTGCTCCTTCTCTCAAACAATACTTCATGGGAACCTACCTTTTGAACAAAGGATGGGAAATCTGCTGCTCCCAGGGTCACAGGCAACCAAGAAATTTATTTTGCAGATCCTGCAAACATCTCTGACCCCGCTGCCAAAAAGTAGTGGCATGCCTTCCTGCTTTTTTGAGATGGAAAGACACAAAAGAGCAGTGAACATTCTATTATGACTTAGCTTGATTTATTAAAACACGCCCACACACCTTTCAGATCCTCCAACAGTGCATTCATCGCCACTCTGAGTCTAACCACTTTGCTGCTGAACATCCTCTTCTTCCCTTTCCTTCCACCTTTCCCAGCATTAGAGCCTTCTCCAGAGGTAGGTCTTTGTATAACATATCCAAAGTAAGATCATTTGAACTTGGTCATTTGTGCCTTGAGTAACACCTTGGATTGATTTGTTCTATGATCCATGTGTTTGTTTTCTTGGCTACCCATAGTATTCTCAGTCTTCTCCAACACCAAAATTCAAAAGCATCAATACTTTTTATGTCCTGCTTCCTCAAAATCCAACTTTTGGCTTCCATAAAGTGTCACAGGGAACACCACTGCCTGCATGATTCTGATCTTGTAGATATAGACACATCACAGCATCTGAGAATTTCCAGCAAAAATTCTTGGCTGATCTTTTCTTGGGAGGTACATAAGGTATGTTTGCCTTTTGAGAAAACTTTCGACTGGGTCCAGCTGTCGAATGTGTCTTTATCAGCAACAGCGTTTTTCTTTTTTATATGTTGCTTTTGATCCTGAGATTTTTAACATGTGCTTGTTCTAAATTTTGTCTTATTATTTACATAGTGTTTGCAAAGCTGAAGAAGGGTTTGCTCAGGTGAGTATCCAAGTGACATGTCTAAAGCTCATTTACAATATTAGCATTGCTGATCCTCTCTAAGTTTCTAAGTCTCCAACTTATTGTTCTTCCAGATGTGTTGGACTGTATTTCTCATTATTTCCAGAAAGCATGGTGATTATGGATATTGTAGCTCAATATTGCCAAAGGACAGCAGCTGGAGGAATTTTTGCTCTAAGAGAACAATTACAAAGAACCCAGTTCATATAACAAATTCTCAAAAGATTCCTGTCACAATGATCTCTTCAGGTTCTAACCCTATATCTGTTTCCCCAATGTAAGTTCCACTGAATTCAGTGAAATTGACTTCAAACAGATAGGGCTATAGATTGACTTATGAATTGATTGTATGAACGGATTTTTGGAAACAAAGTTAATAATTAATGTGTTAATGTATTTATATATATTATTTATTAGTGTATTCGTTATTTTGAGATGAATCTCACCTTGCACAACTTGGATGGATTTCACATTAGGTTATATTTGCATGTGTATATACGTAGGTGTATATAGGTAGGTAGGTATTCTCCTGTGTTCCTTCTCACTCTGATTATTGTGCATTTTCCACTTCTATTTTCTTTTGCATTTAAATACTTTTATTCCTGTCCCCCATTTTATGTGATGCTTTCTCATTTTACTCAGAATTTGTAGGCATTCCAATATTAGCTATGATACCAAGCTTGAAAACAATCAGATACAATCACCACTCTGAAACATTGGGTTCGACAAACATTACAGTAACTGGCAGGAAAGAGTCTGAAAAACAAATCTCTGGTTTCCATGGAGAAGCAGGCTGATTTTGGGAAGCAGGAGGAATCACTAAAAGTATTAGAGGTAGCACAGCTGATGAGAAGACAGGTGTCACCAGAAGAGTTACTGAATATAAAAAAAGTGGAAGCTGATGTGCCACTACAAAAGCAGTTAGCAGTTCCACTGATGCTCCTCATAAACTCACCACTAGGATTATCAATAGTGCTGCCACCACATAGATCACTGAAAATAGCAGTTTTGGAAGTTTGTCTAGAAGCAGAGAGAATGTCACTAGATATCCCAAGCTGACCACCAGAAGAAGCCATCAGGAGACAATTGTAGATGTCACCAGAAGAAGCAGAACCACTAAAGGCATACATAATCTTGCCAAAAGTCAGAGGGAACTTACCATCAAAGCATATATGAATAGGAGGACGTTGAGCACAGCCTTCCTCTTAGGACTGAAGTTATTCCCAAAGATGTTGGAGGACTATTCACTGAAGGCATGTCCCAAGAAGCCATGGGTACAGTTACTAATACCATGGTGAAGAGAAGATCAAGAGGTAGAGTATATAATATAGGACAGAGTTTCTCAACCTTGACAGCTTGAAAATGTGTGGACTTCAACTCCCAGAATTCCCCATCCAGCATGCTGGCTGGGGAATTTTTGGAGGCGGAGGCCACACCTCCAGTTGCCACGGGTGAGGAACACTGGTGTAAGATATTAGCAACACCG